TTCGAACCCACAACGATAGGTTTCTGGCGTGCCTAAGGGACGCAACTCTGCACAGCGAATCGCGGCGCCTTAGACGACTGGGTTCGCTTCCGGCCGCGTCATATCAAAAGACTATAAAAGATGGTATTTTGTTGTTTCCCTGCCTGGATGGCTCGGGTGCATAATTTGGTTTCTGCGTTGGGTATTCGTGTTAAACTGCGGAATGGTATCTCAGTGGGCTAGCACTATAAAATCGGCAGCTACACACACACACACACGCACACGCACACACACACGCACACGCACGCGCGCGCACACACACACACACACACACACACACACACACACACACATCGCTATATGAGCGCAATCATCTAGGTCGCGATGTTAAGTCCCATCTCACCTCACCTCACCTCTCACTAACATATATTTACGTGACCTACTGGCATTGTACGTCACTCAGTCAACAACACGAAGTAAAGGTTTGTTTTTATCCTCTGAAACATAATATAGGATGATTCATTGGTCATTAATGTAGCCATACACACTTGATGGTGATAGCCAGACGTAGTTGAGCAGATGTACCGTGTCTATTTATCAAATGCGTGTTTTGCTTTGTGATGTTCCCTTCGAAAAGAAAATTCAGTTGTTTGAACTGTTCCATTGACATTCAAAAATATTCATGAAATAGTTGTCAATCAAGTTCTAGCTCTTCAACTAGCCGATGATATTCACCGTACTCTTTACATTTCATCAAAATGGCGCGTACCCGCCAACGTCTCTTATTTTGAACTTTTTTAGGTAAATACATTAATATTAACCCCACTATATCGATATCGATCCCCGACCGCGTCATACCAAAAGACGTTAAAAGATGGTACTTGTTGTTACCCTGTCTGGCGCTCGGCATTAAGGGGCTAAAACAAGGACTGGTCGGCTCGGAGTCAGTATACTGTGTCTGAGTGGGGTATTCATGTTCAATTGCGGCATGGTATCTCAGTGAGCTAGCACTATAGATCGGCATCATGATCAGTCCGGACTAGTACAAGCAGCCACACAAACACACACACGTACATGCACGTCGCTATATAAGTGCAATGATCTTGGTAGCGACGTTAAACCCCACTTCACCTCACCTACACCACGACCTGATAGCCTAAACATACTTATAAAACATGAAATATGCGTGGCAGTTTAAACTCAACAATCCCACAGACTTCTTACAACGTAAGATTATTCAGCCTGACTCATGTGATCCTATTTGCAGCAATGTATTTCCGTTTTGGTTTCAAGTCAATACCTTCATCATCAGAAATGTCACACAGTAATATCAAAATAACAATAAGTGTGTTTCTATACACACAGGAAATGCTGTCCTTCCGAAAAAAGGTTCCTTCGGTACATAAGTACATGTGTAAAGCTCACAGTAAGTCCTGCGCTAATTGAAGTGGTCACGGCTCGCATTGATTCGGACGCTACTCTGTTCCCGTGGCCAAGGCTGTCCGTTGTATGAAATGTCAGTGTAGCAGGGATCATATGGCAAACAATGGGAGCTCGACCGTTCCCAGGCGGACTTAAGCCCCGTCGTATGATATCAAAGAAAGTGGAAATATTTCAGTGTTTTATTCTAAAAAATATCAACTTACAAAACATTAAGACGTTGCCTGTGACACGTGAATGTAGACCACGATCAAAGCACGGCTTGCATAGCTAACGACAAAAAACACAAGAATTTAACAAAAGATACTGATACAGAAAGATATATACATGATATAAATTAGTTATAAAGGAATGGATCATATCACATGGATTATATATCTTCAAAAACATTTCTTTAGTGTTCAGCAGTTCAAAAGTCGACTTGAACAGTTTGTTGTGCGTATTTTAGAACAAAATTAGGTGTGAAATGTTTTATAAACAATGTACATATAACCTGGTATAAGTACCTTTCCAGATACCAACACAAACTCATTCCACATGTGTACGTTGACTCCTAGGACGGATTTCTGTCTCTATTGGTGTGATCAAATTGAAGTATGTTCACGTACAGGGATCTATACTCCCCATGAAGTTGAGAATGCAAAGGGAATGCACTCTGATCCGTCGAATGGGATACTAATGGCATACCCTTCAAGCTACCTCTCCTTGGTGTAGAAACGTGTGCGTTTAATGCTTGTTGTTATCAGTATTTTTGACTTATTTCTGATAAGCTTTGTCAGCTGTATCAAACAGCATCTTTAAGGCAAGTCCTGTTGCATCTTCGCTGAATGAACGAGTAAATGAATTTAAGAGTCCTCATGGAAATAATACTGTATCCTCTCCGCCCTCAGCGGATATTCACAGCCATGCTTTTCGTAATACTGTAACTGACAAGGGATCTCACCTTGCAATGATTAGGAACAAGGCCCCTCCACGCCGATCATAATCCTCGCCTATCAATCTGTTTTCCGAGTTCTGTTATCTCATATATGCACGACCCTGGTGCATCAGTGTCTTTAAGTCCAATTAAAACACATGATTTAGTCTGGTGTGCCACAAGCATCAAGTGTTCGGCCCTACCAATAATGGTGCCAGTTTCGTGGTGATGGAAACACGTAAAAAGAGTGTTAAAGAACTTGATTTTGGTCATTGCCGGATAGGGACTTCCAATTGTCACAGTGATTCCCAGAATCTCCGCAGGTTTAATATCCCAGTTCCCCGTGCATGCCAACGTTTGTCCTTCCAAACTGACAATACCCGCCACGTCAACTTTACCCCGCTTGGTCAGAGCTAACAGAACGTTCCTCCAGTTGACTTTGTTTTTCATTTTTCAAAGAATCCGTTTATCTTCTTTTCTCCGATTTTGTTAAAACTATTCGAATGAATCTGTGTCTTTCGTCGCTTGTGTTTTGTTGGTGAATGACTCGGCTTGACTGACAGTCGTGATACAGACAGCCGACAGAAGCTGTTGCAGATAGGATGTGGCGAGGGTTCTGTGGCGATTGTGTTTATATCGCGCGGCGCTGAGGTTGGTATCGCTCGACGTAATTTCCGGGTCGTGTTTTGCATAGCGTTGGAAAACTAGGTAACTATCAATAGGTGCGTTTGGGCGATTGTTGTCAAATGCTGTTGATCAACAAGTTCTCCCACCACCGATGCTGTGTTCATAGTGTAAATATTTGTGTTGAATTTCAAGTTTTGTACTGATGTTTGCATATGCTCACCTTCAAATGTGTATATTTCACCGAGCATATGCACTGCGGAAATTGACTGATTTAACACTGATTTCGGGGGTGGTCGGGTAGCCTTGTGGTTAAAGCGTTCGCTCGTCACGCCGAAGACCCGGGTTCGATTCCCGACATGGGTACAATGTGTGAAGCCCATTTGTGGTGTATCCCGCCGTTATATTGCTGGAATATTGCTAAAAGCGGCGTAAAACCTCACTCACTCACTAACACTGAATCGTTGGTTGTATGGAGCAAAATGTGAACATCTGTATTGAAAGGGTTGAAAACGTAAAGGCGAACATTATCGCATTTTGTCTAAATTAGCGAGTTTTTTTATTTTGCACCGCTTTTAGCCATATGTTACTGCCATGTCACGGCAAATGCCCCGGAGAATCGCGGGTCATTTGACCAGTTTAATACCCAAATCACCCTCATTTGATGTAAGTATTAATTGTCATTAACTGAACACACTTTTTCATTATAAGAGTATCGCTTCCCACGTATACATGTTGGGAATAGAACCCGGGTGATCGGCGCGAGGAAGCAACACATGACCATTTACTACCCAACTCCCTCCTTAATTTAATATAAGTGAATAATATTAATTGTCATTAACAAAGCACAATATTACATAATAAGTGAGAGTTGGGGTTATAAACCTCTTCGAAAAGTATTTCAGTTATATCTAGGCGTTTCAGTCCAATGTGGGAAGAAAGCGATTTATATTTCGATCCGAAAGCTAGCGGATCCTGGCAGCTAAGGGACACAACCCTGCACATAGAGTGACGGCACCTGAGGCTACTGGGCCTCAGGTTTCTCGTTTCTGATATTGGGACAATTATGTTAAACGCCCTTGACCATTATGTGGACAATCGAGTGATTGACATCATGAGCATCGATCTACGTTGTCCATTTTGTCAAGAAATGGTTTGCCCTGTCCAGACTTGATTATTTACGTGTCTGACAGTAGCTCATAAGAACAGACAAACAAGAAAACAACACTAATTGCGGCTTAGAACAACAGACAAGAAAACAACAAGATTAGCTGCAGGAGAGAACGCCTCGCTCAAACGCAGCCCATTGACGTAAACCACATACTCCAGGTGTCTGAATAAGGCCACTGTGGGCGTCACAGTTTGACCGGAGCCCAGGTAAACCACGCGGCCATAGTATTGACACAATATTCCACTTCATCTTGTGCATATTTCAGCCACTGAGAGGAGACACAAGGGTGACACAACGTCACGAGGGCTGTCTCGGGATTCTGATTGGCTGACGACCTGTCCCGGAATGTGTGACGTCACAAAACGTGTCGCTGGTGTAAAGATTAAAACCTTGACTGGGATCAACTCGCTGAGAACGCGGACGCCGTTGATTAGCTACACACCTGCTGTTCGCTGTATGTGCTGTTCCGGTGACAATTATCACGGTGAAAGTGCAGTTTGTTTTAATACTAACGATTGTTTAGCGAATTACAGGGTGATAAGATAAAAACAATTAGGTGGTTGCCTGCTGGATATTTCGTCAGTGTTATTGTCGTTTCTTGTGACGGTTGATATGATAAAGACGATCGAGATATCTGAATGAAATGTTGAGTACGTTTATGAATAATCTAGAATAGACGGAAGGAGTCTGGGGAAAATGTCTGTCTGTCTGTCTGTCTGTCGTCACAATGTTTGACTGAGCATGACAATCATCCACACTTGGAAACAGATCCCGTTTCAACAACGTTGTCCATCCGGCCTTCCAGGTAAATGGAGTGTGCAAATATTTTCCCGGAATAGCACCCCGTAGTTAGTCCTTGAGTGTACTGCGTCATAAGATCTGGTGTGTGTGTTGGACACTAAGTTGACCCGGTGCGGGTGTCGGACACAAAGTGCGGGGCAGCTGGTGGAGGAGGCGGGAGATTTTGGTGTGTATGTGTCGGACACAAAGTGCGGAACAGCTGGTGGGGGTTGGGGGAGATACTGATGTGTATGTGTCGGACACAAAGTGCGGAACAGCTTGTGGGGATTGGGGGAGATATTGGTGTGTATGCGTTGGACACAAAGTGCAGGGCAGCTGGTGGGGGGTGGGGGAGATTTTGGTGTGTATGTGTCGGACACAAAGTGCAGGGCAGCTTGTTGGGGGTGGCGGAGATACTGGTGTGTATGTGTCGGACACAAAGTGCGGAACAGCTGGTGGGGGTTGGGGGAGATACTGGTGTGTATGTGTCGGACACAAAGTGCAGGGCAGCTGGTGGGGGTGGAGGAGATATTGGTGTGTATGCGTTGGACACATAGTGCAGGACAGCTGGTGGGGTTGTGGGGAGATATTGATGTGTATGTGTCGGACACAAAGTGCAGGGCAGCTGGTGGGGGGTGGGGGAGATATTGGTGTGTATGTGTCGGACACAAAGTGCAGGGCAGCTGGTGGGGGGGTGGGGGAGATATTGGTGTGTATGTGTCGGACACAAAGTGCAGGGCAGCTGGTGGGGGGTGGGGGAGATATTGGTGTGTATGTGTCGGACACAAAGTGCAGGACAGCTGGTGGAGAGGGGTAGGGGAGATATTGGTGTGCATGTGTCGGACACAAACTACGGGGCAGCTGGTGGAGAGGGGTAGGGGAGATATTGGTGTGTATGTGTCGGACACAAAGTGCAGGGCAGCTTGTTGGGGGTGGGGGAGATATTGATGTGTATGTGTGGGACACAAAGTGCGGAACAGCTGGTGGGGGTGGGGGAGATATTGGTGTGTATGCGTTGGACACATAGTGCAGGACAGCTGGTGGGGGTGGGGGAGATATTGGTGTGTATGCGTTGGACACATAGTGCAGGACAGCTGGTGGGGGTGGGGGAGATATTGGTGTGTATGCGTTGGACACATAGTGCAGGACAGCTGGTGGGGGTAGGGGAGATATTGGTGTGTATGCGTTGGACACATAGTGCAGGACAGCTGGTGGGGGTAGGGGAGATATTGGTGTGTATGCGTTGGACACATAGTGCAGGACAGCTGGTGGGGGTGGGGGAGATATTGGTGTGTATGCGTTGGACACATAGTGCAGGACAGCTGGTGGGGGGTGGGGGAGATATTGGTGTGTATGCGTTGGACACAAAGTGCAGGGCAGCTGGTGGGGGTAGGGGAGATATTGGTGTGTATGCGTTGGACACATAGTGCAGGACAGCTGGTGGGGGTGGGGGAGATACTGGTGTGTATGTGTCGGACACAAAGTGCAGGACAGATGGTGGGGGTAGGGGAGATATTGGTGTGTATGTGTCGGACACAAAGTGCAGGGCAGCTGGTGGATTGGTGGGTGGAGATATTGGTGTGTATGTGTCGGACACAAACTACGGGGCAGCTGGTGGAGAGGGGTAGGGGAGATATTGGTGTGCATGTGTCGGACACAAAGTGCAGGGCGGCTGGGGGGTGGGTGGGTGGAGGTATTGGTGTGTATGTGTCGGACACAAACTACGGGGCAGCTGGTGGAGAGGGGTAGGGGAGATATTGGTGTGCATGTGTCGGACACAAACTACGGGGCAGCTGGTGGAGAGGGGTAGGGGAGATATTGGTGTGTAAGTGTCGGACAGAAAGTGCGGGGGAGCTGGTGAAGTAGGGTGGGGGAGATACCTGACCTCACTATATCCCTGCACCACTGACATGCACAGGTAGTTGATCTCCTATGGGAATGAGGAAGAGTGGCGCCTAAATCCCACGAGGACTAAATGTTGATTTCAAACCTGTTACATTAGTTAATAACATTTCACTGGGCGATGACATTTGGTATTACTATTGACGTTAAACATTCTCTTTGGATATGACTGGTATATCAGTTGATGTTTTGGTAGAGACGTTATTTGTTAAACATGTTCTTCATGGGCCCCCCCTTTTGCAAACCAAATGTAGCATGAGGATTTTGATATTTTGGACACCTTCCTTCGAGAGAGATTGTTTTTATAAAATTGTTCAATTGTTAAAATTTGTTCACGAAAAGGCTTGACAAATTATTAGTCCTTAAGTTTGTAAAAAAATATATATACTTCACTGGACATGCTGAATGTTCTGAAAAAGATAGATTTGTTATATCAGGTGTCGTTTAGGTAGAGATGTTAGCTGTTTAACATGTTCTTGGAGGGTGATTTGGCATATCATTTGAAGTTTTAGGGAGAGATGTTAGCTGTTTAACATGTTCTTGGAGGATGATTTGGCATATCATTTGAAGTTTTAGGGAGAGATGTTAGCTGTTTAACATGTTCTTGGAGGGTGATTTGGCATATCATTTGAAATTTTAGGGTGAGATGTTAGCTGTTTAACATGTTTTTTTGGATTGACTTGGTATATAGTTGATGTTTAAGTAGAGACGTTGGCTGTTAAAGATGTTCTTTGAAATTCATTTGGAATATCGGTTGATGTTTCGACCAGAAACGTGGATGTCAAATAATTTGAATTCACTGGCATGTCGTTATTGACATTACTTATTGTCAAGATCAATTCTCGTTGCGGGGGACCAGCTACCAAGGTTGATCTAATGGGGTGGTGGTTGTTGGTGTGTGTTGGTGTGTGTGTGTTGGTGTGTGTGTGTTGGTGTGTGTGTGTGTGTTGGTGTGTGTGTGTGAATGTGTGTGTGTGTGTGTGTGTGTGTGTGTGTGTGTGTGTGTGTGTGTGTGTGTGTGTGTGTGTGTGTGTGTTGGTGTGTCTGTTGGTGTGTTGGTGTGTGTGTTGGTGTGTTGGTGTGTGTGTGTGTGTGTGTGTGTGTGTGTGTGTGTGTGTGTGTGTGTGTGTGTGTGTGTGTGCATTCACCATTTAAATCTCACTTCATGAGGGTATCAGTCTAGACTTTAGCGAGTACCCCATTTAGACAGAGACCATGGGTCAGGGGTCACGGATGGCAACTTCCAGACCTCGACAGGAAATATGCATCTGGAGTAGAGAATGATCCCACTCGGCGAGAGACGTGTCCACAGGACAGGTCAGAATAGGGTCCCGCTTCTTCATGTTTGTCGAAGAATCGACTATAATTTGGAACGGATGGTCAGGCTTGGTTCATTGAGTGTCATCGCACCCTGACCGCGTAGTCAGGTGATCATGCTGTCAGTCACGACTGTCTTCGGTTCACTGTGACATAAATAAAATACTGCTGACTGCAGCTAAATCAACAACCAAATCATATAACGGCACACATGTCAACTTTCATGACGTTTCTACAAATCGTTCAAAGTCATCGTTATAAGTTTGTTAACAATTTCCTTAATGAATAAATATCCCAGTATGCCCATATAAGAAGAAACCCTTTTACTTTCCACCAGAGCATACTACCTGGAAGTTCCTTTCGCTGCTTAACCATTTCCATTCTCCGAAGGACAGGGAAGATCCGGGGTAGAATAGGTCTTCAGCAACCCATGCTTGTCGAAAAGGGCGACTATGCTTGTCGTAAGAGGCGACTAACGGGATCGGGTGATCAGGCTTGCTTACTTGATTGATATTGGAACATTGCTGTGTGCGGCCTTATACAAGAAACAAACAAAACAAAACGAAAGCATACTATAAATTGAAGGCTTATCTCGGGAGGAATACGGTTGTAGTTACCGACCGTGTGTCGTGTACCTACAGGCAGAGGTAGGAGCGATGTAAGGTGGTGATGAAGCTATGGCGGCGAATGGATCCAGGGTATGTCAAATTGAAGTTTAATACCCTGGATAATCGAGGATGCTCGTCCAACGAATTTACATTTGGGCAACAAACTCGGTAAGTCAAGTGTATTATAAAAAGAGGCTTAGCTATTTAAACTCAAATGTAACTTCACAGGTGAATGTGACTTGTTTCAACAACGACTGGTCGCTGACAGTAAAAATAAACATTGCATGTAACAACTACGACTCAGGGTGGAGACACGTTAACTATTGTATGGCAGCTGAACAGTGACACTTTTCAGTGTCGCAATGTCGTCAGATTTCATATCGGTGCGGGTCGACCACACGGCGTTGTGAAGCGAGACTACAGGAAGACGGTGTGCATGAACGACGTTAACATACATTTTCTCGTACAGATTGTAATGCTGTTTTGAGTCATTCTTGTTGTGTCAAAATGTCACTGTATGTGTGAGATGACACAGTTAGGCTGCCGTAGAGTTGTACTGGTTTCAAACCATGTAGACATGCAGCTCCGTCAAATAGCTGATCCCAACAGGCTGCCGTAGAGTTGTACTGGTTTCAAACCATGTTGACATGCACCTCCGTCAAATAGCTGATCCAAATGGGAGCGTTGGAGCATAAACATTTGATGTCCCGCACTTTTTCTCATTCCATGACACACAACCACGTTATGCATTAAAGTTTTATTAGGGCGTACTTATGTTTGAATATGAATAATTTGAAACTATCATTACATAATAGCCCCTAAAGCTATTGTTGAGTGTAACAGGTGTAACACAACGGCAAGCACGAGTGAGATATGAGGAGATATCAGAATACAAAGCCGAACATTAAATTAAATTAAAAGGTATTGGGTATCCTTCTCGGGAACTCACCAGCATGTCAAAGTGACCAGACGATGTATGTCATAACAGTTGTTTGGGCCAGAGAGACCGTGGTGTCAAATACACCTGGAAAATTGTTATGCACCACTTATTTATTAAATGCGTCAGATTCTAATCGACATACTACCCCGATCAATGGATCAGTGTGGACACGATTTGCACTCTCAGCGCCCTGGGGAGTATACAACCCAAGCTGCCAAGGAGGCGCTGGAACGGCAACCGTCGCATTACCATCGTACTATGTGTTTTATATGATTTATTTGCTCAGAACTTCTTTGAATCTTTCAGAAGTATTCTAAATAAAACTATTTGTTTGTTTGTTCTTTTAAGCCGCACTCAGCAACATTCCAGCGATATGATGGAGGTCTGTAATAATCAAGTCTGACCAGACAATCCAATGATTGACATCTTGTGCAACGAATTGGGATACGATGACATGCATCAACGAAGTCAGCGAGCCTGACCACCCGATCCCATTAGTCGCCTCTTACGACAAGCATGGGTTGCTGTAGATCTTCACGGGTATTCAAAGTTTCCTTCCCGCAAATTGTCTCCATTTATCGTAAGTGTCTAGCCCGTACACAAACTGTTGACTTCCTTTTTACGTTAGTTCCACATTGACAAGGCAGAACAATGACAGATGGCCAATTATGGAGTAAATATCGCTTCTTGACGTTTGTTAATCTAATGAATCGTTATAAACTGTAATTTTCTCATTGAACTCGTCAATCGAGACTGTTCGTTTCGCAAAGCAGCGCCATTCTTGTTACTTGACCAGCGTGTATTCTTTCGCTTCCAACAGCGGTCTCGTAGCTTTCAGGAATATTTTTTTATTTTGTATAAATCATACCCAAATGTTTGATAAATAGTTTTAGTGACCTTAATTATTTTTGTTGCTTTTGTTCATATTTATTAAGATTTTGCAAACTCGGAACTACATTATAATTCACAATCACAAGGGGTGGTGAAACGTCCCTGGGTGGTAGTTAGGGAGAGTTTACGTTTCATGGTTTTACATTTGTAATGAAAATAAATAATTTTCCGGCAGGCAGCTACATAAAATGTGTCTCGTTAAATATCATGTTTATCTCATGTCGTGAAGTGAAAATCTGCTTCACTCTTGAAAACATCTTTCCCCCGTCACTCGAGTGAGTGAGTGAGTTGGGTTTAACGCCGCTTTTAACAGTATTCCAGTTATATCGCGGCGTGTCAGCTTAATGTGGGAGGAAAGCCCGAAGTGATGCAGGTCTCAGACGTTTACCACTTTGGTGAAGCCCAAGAGCACGGGTATGGTTCTGACAAATCTAGAAACTTCGGGGCGAACCGGGATTCGAACCAACAACCATAGGTTTCTGGCGTGCCCAAGGGACGCAACTCTGCACAGCGAATCGCGGCGCCTTAGACGACTGGGCCACCCGTGCCCCCGACGAGGTCTGATGAGTCAGAATTAGGCAGAGGCTACTGAGGGTCACCGTTACGAAAACCTGCTGATTAGCTCATAAATTCCTAAAGACTCGAAACTAACCCACTCATCCTCTTGGTTCTGACTGTACGAACACCTGGGCTTATTGCTGTATACTACACCACACCAAGAAGGATGACTCTTCCAATTAACACATCAAGGAAGCTGAAGAAGCCAT